TAAAATATTATCTTAAATAATATTTTAATTACTAACAATAAAACACAACAAAGATCCCAATGTTCCCCTGCAAATAGCTTAATCATATGAATGCATTGGTCATAACCTTGGACCTCCAAATTGTGACCAATGTAAACAAACTGGACTACAAGATTGCCTTTTCCCTCTTTTCTAATCGGATGTGAAAAATCAGTCAAGATCCTGCGGAGCCAACAATTACAGCTCAGTTTGTCATGGGAAATAAGCTTCACTAGAGTAAGATGTAACAGGAGGAGGTGGGGGTGGGGTCCATATTTCTATCCTACCCTCCTCCTCTGTCAGAGTGATGCCATGGCTAGCATTCTTTTGTGGGGTGAGTGGTCATACTACATAATGCTCTGGTATATTTAGCCAACCACATTTTTTCTTAGTCAACGTCCCTCTCACACTTCCTGGTGCAAAAAAACATCAATAAACATAGCTAAAGGTAAAGGATATAAATATTTTTTCAGTTATTGTTTTGATGCGCTTATTTTCTGGATCTGATTTGTTCAGGTGAAGCGTGATTTGTTAGTTAAGTGGGATAAGCTTTGCTTCTCTTTGTTGTTTTCCACAAGAGTAAAACTGGAGAGATCTCCATGAGGAGTTGAGGGTGAAAAGCCCCCACAAATTCGGCACATCAAGATAGGTTCCCATGGTAAATCAACCACAGTATAACAGTGCCCTGCCAATTCCTTGCATCTATTTCTGTTTATGTGATCTTACAGAAGAAGAGAAGCCTATCTGTTCTCATTTTTTCTAGGTCCAAGCAAAAATTGCAAACAATGTTGATGGAGAAGAAATGACTGAACTTATATGTTATGAAAAGCATACAAGTTGCTTACTCTGAATTCTGCTTTGCTAGAGAAACAATGCACTTGAAGAGGTGAAAGCATCTAAGTTAGCTAAATGAGAGTCTCATGGATAAAAAGAAACTTGCAGCAGAGATAGATTATTATGTTTTGTTTTGTTTTTTTCCCTAAAGAAATTAAAATATCAAGATCTTTGTTTAATTTTGTTGTTTAGATGGAAACATCCTTTATTTAAATGTTTAAGATTGCCATTAAAACTGTGGTCAACCTCAATCAGACTGCAACCAAATGTTGCTATTATTCAAGAGCCTAATAGTTCAATGATAGTTTAAGTATTGCAAATTCATAGAAATGTTATTTCTCTTGGATAGGAAACTTGCTTGATACTAGTATTCTGTAATAAGTGTTTTTTCTAAAGGGATTTGAAGCATGACTTTTGAGTCATTTTTTATATTTATGCTTTTAGAAAAACCTGTAGGGGATTTCCACTTTAGCCATGGTTTGTGCGCTAGTGCCTTGTTCATGTGTGGCGGGGGTGTATACCATTTATCTGAGAATGTCACAATGCTCTGATGGAATGTTTGGTACTACAGTATAATCTGAACACGCTGCCTGCCATTCCTATGCGGCATTAATCACAAACTGAGAGTTGGGATTTTATCAAAGGCATGGAATATGTAGGTCTTGGGAGTCATCTACCTCTGGTTCTTCAGCACCACTTCATGTGTTGGAAAGTGCTGGCATGTTTAGTCCCCATATCTCATGGAGGTTACAGGAGAACTGCTGTGGAATAGGGAAAAGTGTTATCTCATGGGAGGTACGACTTATGTCACCTCAAACAGGGCTGTTGACATTTACTTTAGAGCGGCTGTAATGCAGGAAGTTCCCTCTCTTACCCAAAGTGTCACACACCAGGATTTTCATTGTCTAAAAAAGTGTTAATAACCATAAGCTGTTCACAAGCACAGCAGATGGGGGTGTGCTTATGTACCATACATGTGAAGAATGTCACCTCTGTGTCAGAATTTTCTTTTTAGTAGGGCTGAGTATTCCCACATGCTATCCTGACTCCTGTTTCTACAGCGCTAGTGTTTGAAATCTATGAAAAACCATCTATACATATGCATACACACATACAAATGAGTGCTAATCACACAGTTACTCACACATGTGCAGACAACAGCACATGCAAGTACACAGTTCACTCAGATATATGTGCTGAAAGACAAACACATGCTTACACATGCACATACACCCACATACACTCCCATCCACACACACACGCAGACAAATGCTCACACAAGTACCCTCACACACTCACAGTCTCACACACACACACTGTCTCTCCCACACATGCTGTACACAGCCTGTCCAGCACGATGCAGGGGACCACAAGCTGAGATGTGGCAGCTTTGGACCCGAGAGGAAATCCGATAGAGATTCCCAAAGCCATGGATACTCCTGTAGGGACTTTAGAGCGAGGAATCTGTAATCTGCACTTCAAACAGGCTCTTAAATCAGTCCCAGGCCAGCAGCCTTAACTTGTGTTACATTGAACGCCCCCCACCACTATCCCCACCCCCCATCATTGGAGCAGGATCCACACAGACACAAATATATGGGGCATGCCCCTTGGAGCGCCAAAAGCCTGTGGATTTTAAAGACCCCTCTAAATGAGCTTGCTCATTCACTTGGTTCCTGAGGGCCTGTGGTCACCTAGGACTGGGGGGGGGGCTGCAATGGCGTCAGTTAGGTCATTAAAAGGGGCTTGGAATGAAACACAAAGAGGGGAACATTCTGGCTCAGGGAGACAGCGGGGAAAAGCACCTCTGACAGGGCAGCAGGCGCTTGGATAAACACAAGCGCTGACTGAAGTGTTTATGTGAATGAGAGTTCGTTAGTGAGGGGTGTGAATGGGGTTTAATTAGCCCGCGAGGCAAGGCTGGTGGTGGTGGTGGTGGGGAGGGTGTAGGAGCAGTTCTGTGCGTGGGACCACGACTGTGCGCTGTGAGGGGGCAGGGTTTGGAGTGACAGATTTAGCTGCATCACCCCCCCATAAGATTTCAATTAAGTAATGATGGGACAGGTTTCGAGTACAAACCTTTACAGGGGGTTTCAGGCACAAAGACTGCCAAAGCATTGCAACATCAAGTCTCAATAACTGGGTAGAGGAATTGTATAATTGTCACTGGCCAAATAGGTCAATAAATAAATAAATAAATGAAGCACAGCCATGTTTAATTTGTTCCTTTTGAGGCCAAGGTGGTTGCCCTCTGGCATTTAGGCGGTTTTAGATTTCAGGTGGAAACCTCCTTAGCCCGAAGGAAACACAGTAAAACAGTATTTAATTGTGTTGGGCAGTTGGTGTGAATTTACACACAGAAAATCAGAGGCCCGGCACAGTTTCTGAGACAATAAAGAGGTCGAGGGGGTGGAGACTGGAGTAGGACACACTCAGAGAGAGGGAAGAGACAACTGAACTAAAGAAAGAGACAGAGAGAAAGAAACTGTGAGAGAAACGAAGAGCATTAGTGTTATGAATCTTTGTAACATAGGATTGTTGGTGATCTATTTTACTTTGATACTTTTTTTATATTATTTTCATTTTGGTTGTGTATATGTAGACATAATCATTAGTATGCATGTATTTCAGTTTTATGTGGTCCTATATTTGTACTCGGTAGTATGGTTTTTCCTGCCAATTTAGGACCACTGAAGTGAATTAAAACAAAGGGAAAAGAAAGCAAGAGAGACAAAATAAAGGGGGGGGAAAAGAGTGAGAAATAGGGGGAGAGAGTATTGCCCTTTTGTTTTATTCTGAGGGAGGGAGTAGAGAGAGTGTTCTATGTTTATTTCTAAAATGCCTCAGCAACACTTGACAACCTCTGCCATGCTAATAAAGCCATTTTGAATCCCTGATTACTTCAAAGAAGGAGAGTTATAGGAGGGAGAGAGGGAGGGGAAAAAAGATACAGACAGAGGGTAAAGAGGGAGAGAGAGATTGAGAGATGGGAACCAGAGAGATGGACAGAGAGGGACACGGGGACGGAGGTAAGGAAAAAGAAAGAGAGATGGAGAAGGAAAGAGGGAGACAGATGGAAGGGGGGAGGTGATTGGTCATCGCAGGGCCTTGGAACAGCTGTTCTTTGATATATTAGTGGACACAATGACCCAAGCCCAGCCTTCAGCCACGGAAGAGAGAGCCCCTGCCTCTTTCTGGAGGGGAATGGGGGCAGGGGGTAAAGGAGGGGGCTTAGGGGACTGAGCCATTTCTGGACATGAATAATCAGCACAGGGGGATGGGGGAAGTTGTTTTTAAAATGAGAGGCTCTTATATACTGAATGACTTTCACTGGAAATGTTCTAATTTATGGATCACAGGCAGACCACTGGGGCTTTGGCTTGCTTATTCCACTCCTCAGTATTTGAGAGGGAGACTAATAGAGACCCTTAAACTGGACACTCAGCTCTGTGTTTTTTTATTCCTCCATGCTTCCATGCCTAGGAGGTTGCTGTTTGCAATAGGAGCTTCTGGTGTTCTGTGCTGTTTTACTTGCCATTGACATTTCGGCCTTCATGAATATTCACAATGAAAGGACAAGTCAACAATGGCAGGCATAGACCAGCATAGTTGAAATGCATCTAACTAACTAACTGCTTCTAATGTCAGTGGTTTTATCTGCATTATCAAAGTGTTGCTGCTCTTCCCTGCCATGTTATAGTCACTGCAACTTATATTGTTTCTATGAAACACATCCGGTAAGGCACTCTGAAACAACATCCTTGTCAAAAGCACTGTGTCAGATGAAGTTGAACCAATTGACTGAATCATTGGGATGGATTGATTGTTGATGGCGAGGCAGGACCCCCAGCTTTGCAGTGGTTTATGATTTCTGGAAAAAAGTAATGCAGCAAATCAGCAGTGATTTCCAGAGCTGTTCTTAGGAGGGCAGAGAATTTCAGAAAGTTTCACAACCATTTCAGGTTGACAGGACTAGTAGGGTGTGGGAGTGCCATGGGCAGCAGGTGTGATAACTCATAAATAACTAAAGCGCCACTGCTGGTTTGGTTAGCAGCGAGAGCTGAGGGGCCACAGGCTGAAAACAGGGGAAGGAGAGAGACAGATTGCATTACATTTGATTAGCAGGCACTCTTGCCCAAAGCAATGGCAGCAGTGTAGCATAGTGGTTAAGGAGCATGACTTGTAACTGCAAGGTTGCTGGTTCAATCCCTGCCTGGGCTGCTGCTGTTGTACCCTTGGGCAAGGTACTTAGCCCACAATTGCCTCAGGAATCCAGCTGTATAGATAGATAACATTGAAAAAAAACTGTAACTGATGTAAGTCTCTCTGGATAAGAGTGCCTGCTAAATATTAATAATGTAATGTAACTTCTGAAGATTAGCATTTTTACATGTCCATCTATACAGCTGGATATTTACAGTGGTAATTCAGTTTTAAGTACCTTGCTCAAGGGTTACAAGTACTGCGTATGACCTCTATCCCACACTGCTGCCCACTGAGAGACACTTGTGCTTCCTTTGCTGATAACATTGCTTTGACACTTTATAGATTTATAATGATTTTGCAGGCAATGATCATATATGCACAGAATAAAAATTTCAATCACTTTTGTCATGCTGTGTTTGTGTGTATGTGTGTGTATGCGTGCACGTGTGTGTGTGAGTGTACATGTGTGTGATTGTATGGGTGCGTGTGTGTGTGTGTGAGTGTGTGTGTGATTCTGTGTGTGTATGTTTGTGTGTTGAGACCCCACCCCAACAGGAATATAAGGGGGCCATGCAGCCCCTGCGCCATGTCTCACCCTTTTACCCCAGCCCACAGTAACAGGGATTTTCCATGCCGAACCATGCAGAAAGGCTCACACCTAATGCCTTCCATGCCATCTGAGGGAATGTACCCCAAGAAACGTTTTCAGACAGCACATGTTGGGGAGACACTCAGGTCAGCAACAGAATTGTCTGGTCACAAATGCATGGGAGAGAAAGTTCCATCAGCAGCAGCATTTCAAGTGACTGTGAAGTCCCTGTGAATCTGTGGCCGTTTTCAAAAGAAAAACTTGTGTTTTCTCACTTCAAGGGTCCACTGGGTCATGAAATGCTGACCTAATGGTCAGAGGCATCGCTGTGACCAAAATATTCATAAATATTCACGTTTCCCCTAACATTTCACCTTTTTTTTTAACCAAAGATACGAGCAGTGCCACCCTCCTGAAGTGTTCCTGTATATATGAGAGTATTAATCATGCACTCCAGGAGGGAGAGTGCAGGGGGAACCCCACTGCTAGCTATAAGCACCCCCACTCTGTCTCTCCTAAACTCAAATAACACACACGCATACACACATGCCACACACACGCCGCACACTTTCTCTCTCACACACACACACTCAAGTACATGGTGATATTGGGTCTGGTTGCAATAATGTCCACTGTCTCCAAATGACAGTCCAATGGCATTCCTTTCCAGAGCAGACAGCCATGCTCGTGACTGAGATAAGCTCTTTGCAAGCAATGTCAAATTATTTTAAATTCCGGTAGGGGTTACAACTAGACACAGTTCATCATTCTCCACTGTAACCTGTCAGCAGGACACTCCTCAGAGTACTGATTAAAGAGCAAAGACTATCAGTGGGATCAAACCTGCACAAGACACTGTAATATGTGGAGATCTATCCTTGGCCATATGAAACACAAGCTCCTGCAGCTGCCTGTTGGGGGAGTTAAGAGGTCTGGCTTGTTCATTCACGTGAGAACCTCCCCACCAACAATTACTGACCATATGATTTTTCTAAATGAATACAAGTAAGCTGATAATGTGAGCGTGAGACCACCTTTGTCAGTTGAGTGTGGCAGTGATTAAGTGGAGCTTAAACACAGCCACCATTCCTTCTGTCTGTGCAGGTCTGTCCACTCTCGCATAGGGCAGGATGGCTGCCGTCGTAGAGCCTCTCTCCGCAGGATGTGTTCTTCAGAAATAGACCCCAGTTTGAATTCCAAGCATTCCAACAGCAGGGGCTGTGTTCAGAGGGGACTAGAGTCCTCATGCCGGCTTTACGGCCCCCCTCACTCAGAGCAAGGATGTGTGCGGCAACAGAAGTGTTGTCCAATCAGGACGTGTCTTGCCTTTTCCCATCCTGTCTGTCATAATGTTCTGACCGAAATTCACCTGTGACAATGCATTCATGGTAACCACAGCTTTTGCACTGTTTTTGCTATACTGCAGTTATCTGAACACTCTTTCAGGGTGGATCAGGGTGGGTTGGTCCATGAGGGTTGTTAGATTTATACTCCTATAGCATGAATCTCCGCACCAACTTAACAGATAATCTAAATTTAGGGTGAAAAAAGGTGTGTCCATCACATTCCTTGTGGTCACATGCCTTGCACCAAGTCTGGCAGAATGTACAGGTGTGGCTAAGTGAAAGAGAGGAGTGTGACTGTCATTACAGTAGTTGCTTTCACTCATTTGCTTTCGATGCCCCATACCAAGGGTGACTCGCAACGCTACATTGTTAGATGTTGTGGTTTTCATGCAGCAGTATATGAACAGATGCTGTTAAGGTTAAACTGCTCATTGGTAATCTAGCTATGTCACTCCCAAGATATCAACCTACATCCTAGTTATTCATTTGACTGATGTTATTTTCTAGAACAACTCACATGAAAATATAAAGATCCATTAAGTGTATGTCAGAGGACCAACAAGAACAGGAGTGTAGGTAAGGAATAGGGGGACATGTATTTAAAATGGAAATACAACAAAGACACAAATATACACCTGTTTTGAAACACGCTGCTCTAAAATGATCACACAAACCTTGTTACCTCTGGGTAGCATGGGTCTACAGCCAAATAATTATTCATAAGAGAATTATTCCTGATGTCCTTACTATGCATACCACTGACCTTTGTGACTAATGTAGCTAACGCCATGTAAAGCCTCTGTCAGGGTGATGATGATGGGAAATACTGCTGAATGTGTGCACTGTATTTTGCCCATGTTGTGATAGGCAGGCTTATGACTTATCAAGGAGGCAGTAACTGAGAGCACTGCTGGGCCAACTGGTTTAACACGTCCTCACTCCTGACCATTTAATCCTTGAAAAAGTAACCTTGAGCATCACTGTCATTGTTTTTCACGAGTGTGTGTGTGTGTGTGTGTGTGTGTGTGTGTGTGTGTGTGTGTGTGTGTGTGTGCACATATGGGAGTGTGCAAGTGTGTTCTGGCAGGCATTTAAAACCCTGTAACAGCAACTGCAGTAAAAATGATTTGTGAGCGCTGTAAATCATGGTTGCATTTTAAATCAATTCCACTGAAGCCCTTCAAACCTCCATCCTGGCCTTACTCCCCTAATTGGCTCTTAATTACTTCATTGACCCTGCTGCTACGGCTTGCTGCTGTGACTCACTGTGACAGCAGCTGGAAGTGGAGGACGGCTTGAATGAAAGCTGGCTTTCCCAAATGGGGCCGAATGACAAGGCAACTTATCAATCCCAAAGTGAGGGGGCCTTGAGTTGTGCCTCCATGCTTTCAGTCTCTGTGCTCAGAAAGGCCTGGTATTGGAGGCCTGCTGTGTCTCTGGATTAGGGATGGTAAGATTCATCGATTCGCATCGGTGCACCGGCATAAAGTTCACGGTGCGATTGCCCCGATTAAAAAAAGTGTGCACCAGATACAATTTGGGATGAACTCGGGATGCATCGTTTCTAACATCTTTGCATCAGTAAAATCCGATTTATTTATATATAATTATTATTAGAGGCCCTATGCCTTTATTATCTAGAAATGTAAATGTATGTAAATGTTATATTTAGATTGATTCCTCCTCTCTAAACTGTTTCTCAAGCGCACTCTCTCATCTCTACTGCTGTCAGTGGCAGATTCTCTTCCAGTCTCTCAGCCAAGTCTCACGCGAGTTGGAGGCGTGTCCAGGCGAGTCACAGATTATCATGGAGGAGGAAGAGCTACACGTTCCACCGAATTGCTACAAATCAAATGTTTGGCGATGCTTCAGATTTTTCAAGAGAGACAGACAATTTGACAAGACGCATGTAATTTGCAAAATATGCTGTGCCACTATAAAGAAAAGAAACAGCATAAATGAGATGCTTACTGAGTTGCAGTACTAGAGAAACAAATATGTGATGTAAAAATGTTTTTAGTTAATTTATGATTTGCTGTCTGCTTAAGAAGAACCAAAGAAATAAAATCAAACTATCTGTGCCATATTGAATTGCATAGCATCATATTCTTTTGCATCGCACCGTATTGCGTTGAATCACATTGTGTTGAATCAAATCGTGTCGAATCGCACTGCATCACAATAGAGGTGAATCATATCGTATCGCATTAGTAGTTGCTTCATATGTATCTTTAATGTATCGGATCGTTGGCAATGCATCGAGATCTGTATCGCATCGGCCTCAGTGATGGAGATGCACATCCCTACTCTGGATGCTCCTTACTTTGATATCTACCAGGTTCCGCCCTTAGCAAAGCTTTCAGCTTCTGTCTAAGCCATCAACCAAAAGGTTATATCCTGCTGCCATTTCTAACTTCAGAGGTGAAGCCATATTTTTGGACCACTCTTTTACCTGTAATATGCTGTGATGTTATTTATTTTATTTAAAATCCCAGCGTTTCAGCTTAACGTGACTAACACTGTGGATTGTTTTGTAGCCACACAGGAGGTCTTTCTTGTATGGTGCTTGTGAAAGCCATATGGCACCCTGAGCATTGACATCAGACCATCATCACCTGCGTAGAATTCATCAGATTAGGGTATTGTTCTGCCCCATTATTTAAAACGTGAAGCAGTTCCACTGTCAGCTGACAAGAACAGCGCCAACGCTCACTCTTAGATAAAAAAAGCACTGTTACTGGCCTGCGGGGTTGGGGGGTGAGAGCTTTGGGTGTGGGGTCGTGTCTTTTGTACTCTGGTGGGGGGTGGAGGAAGTGTGGGGCAGTGAGGGGGAGGGGCATCTTTATGAAGCCCATCTCCTGATTGAATTGATCCAGCCTGCTCTTATTTACAAGCAGCTTCTTGACAATCTGCCCTGTTTAATAGACGGCCAGCCCAAAAGGCATGTCACATCCATGTAGATTATAGTCCTAGGGGCAGGAAGACAAAAGCATGTGGGGAAGGGACATGGGACTCCCAGGGGACCAGTGACATGGAGTCCTGCACTCCAGCGGGCTTCCTGCAGGTCTCATATTTCAGGA